TCTGTCTTACTCCTCATGATGAAAGACTCTAAGAATAGCGCTCTCTGTCTCTCAGTCTGCTGCGGCTCTGATAATCACTGCATCTTCTACAGCATGTAAACATCCTGTTTTCTCCATTCTTGAACCAGCGATACGGCACGGAGATCCGCATTCGTTCTGCTCACCGTGATTGCGATCATTCTGATTATCCTCCATAATGGATCATTTGGAATAATAGACGACTCCTGGAGTTTTATCAAAAGCATCGTTCGTCATTTCTGCGATAGCATGGCCTGAGGAGCAGTAATAAGCCATATCTTTAAAGTACTTCTCTAGTGGCATTTCTTTATAAAGTCTTATGTTTTATCTGTAATGTACTGACAGAATTAGGCCAGAAATATACCCAAGAAACATATGAACCCACGCACGACCAGTGATAATAATAAGAAATGTCTCTTGAGCAGCAAGAATGATCAGAATGATTTCTGAAGGATCATGTGACACTGAAGACTGGAGTAATGATGCTGAAAATTCAGCTTTGATCACAGGAATAAATTACATTTTAAAATATATTCAAATTGAAAACAATTATCTTAAATTGTAATAATATTTCACAATATTACTGTTTTTACTGTATTTTTTATCAAATAAATGCAGACTTGGCGAGCAAAAGAGACTTGCGCAAAAACAAAACAGGCTTTTGAATGGTAGTGTACATTTGATTAGTTACCTAAAAATAATGCATAATTGTAAATAGTTCTTCTTATGATAACTTTTATTTTAAAGGTGGGGTAAGCGATTTCTGGTAGCCAATGTTGACATTTGAAATCACCAAAACAAACACGCCCCTACCCCAAAAGGGTCTCGCCTCTATTTTTATAGCTCCGCCGCACACATACGTACGCAACTCAGGCAACGATTAGTTCTGTGAAACAAAGCAAAACCAATGTTACACCGTGTCTACACCGGACGCTATAGAACAAAATACTATAGAACTCATTATAATCAGTGATGCTGTCTACAGCATAGATATATATCGCAATATATCGCACAACAAAAAGCTGTTATCGTGTCAGGCCTAGCCTTGTTCCGCAGATGTTTTCCTCTTTTGTTTTTTATCCGCCATCTCTATCTTTCTGTCGCTCGGCTCGGCTAATGTCCGTCCCGTGCACTGAACGCTCTCCTCCACATCATGAGTAGACACACCCCTTACTGCTGATTGGCTACAAGTTTGTTTTGCTATTCGGCCCGAATCTGTTTTCTAAAGCATTTTTGAAAAATCGCTTACCCCACCTTTAATGGTTTAAATTCTGAAAGCTTTTGTAGTTTGCATTCAAGTGTTGCATAAAATGTTTTGTGCCTTACTGTTTTCATTATTTCTTTGTCAAGAAAACATTGTTTGCATGAGATTTAAAATTATTTTTTTATTGTATATATTATTTGTATACTTTTTATATTTTTTAGTGAAGACGTGCACATTGAATAACTGACAGAGGATGTTTACTTAAGATTACTCTATGTATAAAGATTAAGATTATGATTAATAAGTAATTACATTATTATTAATATTTCAATATTCTCTTAATATATTTTATATATTATATATTATATTTATATATTAATTATTAATATATTTAATAAATATTTAACTTTTTCATATTTAAAAATAAAATTTAAAATTAATTATGCATTACTAATATATTAAATTAAGCACAAAATCAAGATGTAATCTGATATTGTTGTTTTTATCAAAGGACATACACATGAAATTCCTGGAATTATAAAATGACTCATGGTGAATTACCTTAATATATCAGTAATCCCAATTTCTCTTTATAAAATAGTTATAATTAAAGCAGAAATACTGAAAATAGCTGTTCAAGTTCAAAAGGTGGATAAAAACTGGCTCAAACCATTTATGACATTTACTTGATAAAAGTATGCATTTAAATAAACTTGTTTAATCATGTCGTTTATTAAAAATAATCTGTGTAAGACTTTTTTCAATCAGTGCAAACGACTGTGTACTGTGTATGATGAGTGCAAAGGCTCGCAATAAATTATGGATGCCGTTTTGACACTTAGAAAAAGTGTGCAATTTAAAAAACAGCATGAATCGCCTCTGAAACTGAAATCTGCCAGTCTCTTGTTTCTTTGTCTTTTTCAGACGGCTGTTGATTTATAGATGCAGTGTGATCTCAGCATGTGTGTGTGTGTGTGTGTGTGTGGCCGGTCTATGTTCCTTTGGTGCACGTTTCGAATTTATGACGCCGACCCCGCCAGTGAATCACAGACACACTCATATGGGCCAATTCCCACCTGCAGCCATTCGACGCACAAAACACACGCAACGCTGGCAGTTTCCAAAGGTTTCGACGTTATTTTTATCCACAATGAGTTTCTTGGGAAATCAAGGCCTCCCGTATGAACCTTTAACGACTGTGGAGGAACAAAAGACAAATGCACCGTGAAATAAATGCATGTGGCGATTATAAAATAACTCAAAAACTAAAAAGATAAAAAGGAAGCTACATCTCATGCATATTCCAAAAGCAATAGATAACTGGCCTGTATAGGTATGCTGTTGTATACTGTTGCTGTTTTAGTTAATTGCTTGTAATCACTCGTCTCTCTAATTAATATGCTAATTCCAGTGAATGCAGCTGTTCTTTAGCTAAGCGCAAACTCATTCTCACTGATTGGATCCTTATACAAAGACACCCTCATTAGCAAATCCATTGCTGTTAGTTAAAAGTAGGTTAAAGGGATAGAGCGCCCAAAAATGAAAATTCTGTCATTTTCTCAGCCTCATGTCACTTGTGTGAGTTTTTCACCTCTTGAACACAAAAGAAGATATTTTGGAGAATGTTGGTAACCAAACAGTTGACGGTAGCCATTGACTTCCATTGTATTTTTTTTCCCATACTATGAAAGTCAATGGGTACCGTCAACTGTTTGGTTACCAACATTCTTCAAAATATATTCTACGGTACTCAACAGAAGAAAGAAACTCAGGTTTGAAATGACATGAGGGTGAGTAAATGATAACAGACTTTTCATTTTTGGGTGATCTGTCCCTTTAAGAGAAACTTTCGACTATATGAAAGTGTGCGTCTAGGGAATTTGTTTTTTTGAGAACCCTATATTATGGACGTCGCATAAAAAGCCTGTGTGGGTGTCCAACATTAAAGCACTAATCCATCCATTTTCCCCCCGTATGCAGACTTACTTTCCCACACACGCCGGTCAAGAGCGGTAGCTGTGTAACAAGCCTCTGGTTGCCATGACGATGAGATCAGAAGTCTGTAGACGTTAAGACCCCGCTTGCCCACTATGACCAGTAAACCCCATTCAGGTAGCAGCAATTATCCAGTGGGGCCTCAAACGGACTGTGTGTGTGTGTGTGTGTGTGTGTGTGTGTGTGTGTGTGTGTGTGTTACAGGCATTATGTAATCAGCACTCTTTTGTCGTGTGTGTGTGTGTGTGTGTGTGTGTGTGTTACAGACATGATGTCATCAGCAAACTTTTGTCTCTGGTCTTTTTGTTTGCCCCCACCGACGTTCCCGTCCTCTCCTGTCCTCCTCTTTTTGTTTCCTCCTTCCGTTTTTTCTCTCTGTCAGTACGAGTGCCCTGCGCCGCTGTGACTCGATTCAACACTGCTGCCCCCTCTCTTTTTTTTCCTCCTTGTGTCTCTCTTCATCTCTGATATGATATGGGTCAGTGATGGTGCGCCCTGGGATGCGCCTGATCAGAAAGCATACTTAAGGACCCGCAAGCACTTTGACGAGCCACGGAGAACGTTACTGAAGGAGCACAACTGCAGGGCTACAAAAGTAAAAAAGAAAAAAATCAACATAGCAAAAATTGTTTTTTGTAATGATAAAGTATAATCTTTTCAATTGTAATTTTAACTTTATTAAAAAACTTTTTTTTAAATAAATTGCACTACCCATATTCCTTATAGGTAATATATTATTACCTAAAAAATTGGGTTCCATGAGATTTTTAAATGTTTTCATAAAAAGTCTCTTTTGCTCACCAAAGCTGCACTTATTTGATAAAAATACAGTAAAATATGTAATATTGTGAAATATTATTACTGTTTAAAATAACTGTTTTCTATGTGAATATACTTTAAAATATAATTTCTTCCTGTGATCAAAGCTGTATTTTCAGCATCATTACTCCAGTCTTTAGTGTCACATGATCCTTCAGAAATCATTCTAATATGCTGATTTGCTGCTCAATATTTTGTGGAAACAGTGCTACATTTTTTCAGGATTCTTTATTGAATAAAAAGTTCAAAAGAACAGCATTTATTTGAAACTGAATTTTTGTAATTTTTTACAGTAAATGTTATTACTGTGACTTTTGTTCAATTAAATGCATCCTTGCTGAATAATGAATCCTTTCTGACCCCAAAATTGGTAAATGATTTATTACCATTAATATTTTATTATTTATTGCATACTTTGTTTTGTTTATATTATTTATTTGCTTACTTGTTTATCTTTCAGTATTTTTTCTCTCACTACTATATATCATGTATAATGTTTTTTGTGTGTGTGTGTTCCCTTCAGTGCTTTTCAACAGTACTGGTCTGTTGCTCAATCTATAGTGCCATGCCAAAGAAAGTACATTTGTATCCGGTCTAAGCTTGTAGTCTGAACTGAACATGAGGAGGAAAAACTGTGTATCACAAAACCATGGGAAGGAAACTATTGAGTTGCTGCATGTAGCGAGACCAGTGCAGACCGATTCACAAGCAAATGACTCGTATGATATCATTATTTTAACGGAATCATTCAAAAACTCTATGTTGTTCTCTTACGGTATCAAAAACTCCAAGTAATCATTACTTTTAGTGAATTTCATCTAACAACAATGAAGCTAGTTTTGTGAATTTAAGGTTTGTGAAACTTAAATCACTGTCTTTACTTGTAGTTAGAGACTGCAGAAGTGGTTGGATCAAAGATTATTTACAAAGCGCCTGCTAAAACGAATGATTTTGTGTGTTGCAGGTCTGATTACCACAACCTCTCGGAAACTGGATCGTGAACAACAGGCTGAGCACGTACTGGAGGTGAGACACACTCATGCAAACCCACATTGACACATATAGCTCCGTTCACACAAGCACACATCAGGTGTGAGAGCTGCGAGCCATGCTAATTTGCACTGCCTACAAATTGCAGATCAATTTTGTGAGGAAAGGGAGAATTACGACAATTTTCACTTCATATGAACGCAACATTATCGACGGGTTCTGACTGAGTCCTATAGACGCCTGTTTGAAATTCAAAATGCTTGTTCTGCTAGTATGTTTAAGTGCGAAAGTCAATGTTTCGAGTGGGTGTTTTGTGTTTCAAATAAAAGCGATTTGTCGTGTTGATCTTTTGAGAACGAACTTGTCACTCATGTTATGTTACCCGTTCACCGTGTGATCCCTTGACACCCAAACATTCCACAGACCAAACGCCCCTTTAATTTATTACAACCCCCCTCTTTTTTCTCATTTATTGCTCCCTCTTTCTTTCTCTCAGACAGACATATTGAATTTGTACAGGCGTGGCACGGCAGTCTGTGAAAGGAAATGAATAAAGTGAATTGAATTAATCGTTCTGTTGTTGTTGCCAAGATGGATGGCACACACAATGTCTTTTGTTTTTAATGATATCATTTAAATGTTCCACTGCACTCTTCTGATTGGCCGGCGGCCACGTGCGGCCGTGCTGATTGGTGGATGAGCGATGGGCATGTTTGCTAATGAAAAAGAAAAATGGATCGAATATCGGAAACAGGAAATGAGAGAAAAGCGGAACATGACTCATCATCACTCCGTTCTACAGAGAGAAAAAATATGTAGAAGAATCTTATTTCTCCTTTCCTGTCCATCTATAATGGGTTTTTACCATGAATAGTAGTGTTCATCTCTTGTGCTGTGACTCATGCTTCGAGTTTGATCTGAACAAATCTGTAATTCGCCCCACAATGAAATGAAATGAAATTAAAATGTTTCTTGAGCAGCAAATCAGCATATTAGAATGATTTCTGTAGTGATGCAGAAAAATCAGCGTTGCATCACAGGAATAAATTACATTTTTAAAATATATTCAAAACAGCTATTTTAAATTGTAATAATATTTCACAATATTACTGTTTTTGGCTGTATTTTTGATCAAATAAATTCAGCCTTGGTGAGCAGAAAGGACTTCTTTCAAAGACATTAGTGTTTTGAATGCAAATGTGAGTTTTATCCTCATGCTCATCACTGTTTTTGTGTCCAGGTGACTGTATCAGATGGCGGTCCTTCTCCCAGACACACCATAGTATGGGTGGTGATCCAGGTGTTGGATGTTAACGATAACAAACCAACATTTCCAGAGAAGGTGTACCAGGTCCGTTTACCCGAGCGCACCCGTAAACAGCGAGGCGCTCCTATTTATCGGGTGTTCGCCTACGACCAAGACCAGGGTGCCAACGCTGAACTCTCCTACAGCATCGTCGATGGCAACGAGGATGGGAAGTTCGTAATCGATGCCAAAACCGGTGTGGTTTCATCACCCAAGAAACAGTTCACAGCTGGAACCTATGATATTCTTACCGTGAGTTACCTTTGGCCCTTGAGCTTCTAAATAAAGTTAATCTCACACATGCATGTGATTATAAAATGAAATACAGTGTTTTATATTATGTGACTAAAATAAAATAAAAGAATAATAAAACAAAACAAAAAAGAATAAAACGAAATAAAATAAAAAAAGAATAATAAAATAGAATAAAATAAAACAGAAAATAAAATAAAAATATTAATAAATAAACAAGCAAGCTTGGTAGACCATCTTGGCCATGTTTAGAGCTGTTTAGACCACTTTGTCCATGCACCAAATACCTGACATGTTCCATAAACATGCCAATTTTTCCCTTACCCAATTGGAATTATATAAATCATCCATATTTGATATTAGGACAAGAAATAGTCTCACCAGGTTTAACCAGAAGTGTAAACTCATTTCCACGTCTTGGAAAACTCCCTTGACATATGTAGCAGCTCAATTCTCTTAATGAGGGATTTGACATTTTAAATTTCTTTTTCTTGTAAAAGGTTCGTTCACTGGATGCATTCTTCCATTTCAGTTCAGCCCTTTTAATGCCTGGTGTTCTTGTCTTCCTGATGTGCGTTTAACCTCTGCCCGCAGGTGAAGGCAGTGGATAATGGACGTCCTCAGCGCTGGGCGACGGCTCGTTTGCACATCGAGTGGATCCGCCGTCCTCCGGCCAGCCCCGTTCCTCTCGCCTTCGACGAGCAGCTTTACAATTTCACCGTCATGGAAACTGACAAAGTGGCGGACATCGTAGGTGTGGTCTCCGCCCAACAGCAAGGCTCCGCCTCCTTGTGGTTTGACATCACAGGTGAGTGCTTGGATGCTTTATGTTAATGTGATGATCTATGCAATTTAGAGATGACTTTAGCTGCAGGATAGACATGCAAGTGGATTTGTAGCATTTAGTGAAGGATTAAAAATAAATGCCAGGGGTTGGGATTTATTGTAACAATGTTTGAAATTGTAAATCTTTTTTACATTTTAAAAATTCTAAATTTTAAATGGTGTGTTTTTAGAAATAATTGTACTTTATTTATAACAAAATCTTTAAGTATATATATATATATATATATATATATATATATGTATAATTGGATTTTATAATGATAGGTTTGGCTTTTACAGATTAATTAGGCCAAATATTTGCATACTATGGTTTAGAGTTGGTGGGAATGTTTGTGGTTCACTGCATGATTTGTGGCGTTGTATTGCTATATTTTGCCATTCCACGGTCACCATGGAGATTGCTTGCCGCTGTCTGTATCTATGGTGATGTAAGCTTTGTATAACCTTACACAAACAAATTACTTAAGCCCCATTCACACCAAGAACGATAACTATAAAGATAACGATATTAGCGTCCACCCCAGCGAACAATATCGTCTGTTTATTCTAAGCGCACGCTCTCGTCTGCCGCTTTAAATTCTCGAGCTCGTTACAGCAGGATGGATTCTGATTGGCTGTCAATTTTGTATCGTTCATCAGCTGGAGAAAAATCATTTTGAAAGTGATTCCAACGATATCGTTTCTCTTTGTCTTTATCGTTATAGTTGTGGGGTGGACTCTGCTATTCTTTAATATTGAGAACGATTTTTAGAACTATATCTTTATCGTTATCTTTATAGTTATCGTCCTTGGTGTGAATGGGCCTTAATACATTTTAAATAATTGATCATAAAACAAACCTAAATTAATTATATTATATTATATTATATTATATTATATTATATTATAAAAACAAACCAAATATCAACTGCAAAAAACACATACTAATTAGGGCTGCACGATATATCGTTTCAGCATCGATATCGCGATGTGCGCATCTGCGATAGTCACATCACAGGATGTGCGATGTTTAGTATACTGATCGTTATATTTATACTAATCATTTTCTTTGCTCACACACAGACACCGCGTCTACACCAGACGCAACAGCTGTACAGAGATACCCATTTTAAATAAATTTAGTAGCAGAACTACTGCAAGCGATTTTCAATGCTGGAAATCCATTTATCCTTTGTTGAAACTTCCGCGTCATCGTGGAAAGCGCAGATCACGGTTGCTTAGCAACGGCAGATGCCACGAAAGTGCAAGTTCCCGAGCGTTTTGGAGAAAGCGGCGTGGCTGGCGTTTTCCATGCGTTTTTAGGCGCAATATGTGAACAGCCCCAAAGTCTGTCTACACTGGACGCGACAAAGTGACCGTTGCATATCATTTGAACTTTGTGTCAGTACGTCATAAAGAGAATGAGGCATCAGTTTACTGTCGGGGATTTGTCGTGTTGCGCCGCATCCAGTGTAGACAGACAGCATCACTGATTATAATGGGTTCTATTGTATTTTGACGCGCCGCGCCACACTGCTCGCGTCCAGTGTAGACGCGGTGAGAGCCACGCAGATGCACGTGAACACTGAATTCGGTTCACTTCTGCGTCTATTTGTGCCTGAAATACTGTGCTCTGCAAGTATCCTTGTAAACATAGTTGCTTATGGCTTAGGCAAAGGGAAACAATTGAGAAAGAAAATGGATGTGTAACAGTATATTGGTTCACAGCAGTTTAATGTTCCTGTTGCTTTCTCTGTCATGAATGTTAATCAAACAACAAAACACAAAGAAAAATCCCTTTTGTAGCTTTAACACAGATTTATTAGATTTTATAGTGAAAACTGCAGTGTTATTTTACATTTGATTATTCAATTTCTGTACCTGAATACTGTTAGACTTACCTGAAAAATATAAAGCACTGCTTATTTCATTTGTATCTTTGTTCTGTTATCTATGCTTGTAATTAGTTTATTTCCTATGCTGATTTACTCGCCTACAAAGTCACCCCAATCATTGATTTTTTTTTTTCCAAATAGAGTTATTGAAGTCATCTGATTTTTTTTCCCAAATCGCAATATATATCGCAGAAAAAAAATATATTGCAATGTGAGTTTTTTCCAATATAGTGCAGCCCTAATACTAATGACCGCCCTGATGGTTAATTATTATATTATATTATATTATATTATATTATATTATATTATATTATATTAGAGAGTGTGTTAATTTGAATAATTCTCTACAGTAATATTAATAATGCCAAGTTTAGTATTACACAGTGATGTTGATGTTCCAGACACTGAGGTCCTGTATCTGTTGATCTGGTAGGCAATGGGAGAGTCAGATTTGCAGCATGCATGCCGTTTGGTGTTCAGATACCTTCTGTTTGCTTCAGCAGCACCTGCTCTGCACTCTTTCGCTGCTCTGCCTCTCTTTTTCTCCTCCTCTTCTTGAGTCACAGGCCACTTCCTCTTTATTTCTTTTATCCTTCGACTCTTCATTCTTTACTTCTGTTGTTCTACTGTATCTCTCTTCCATCCTCTCTTCCTCTCTCTCTTTCTAAATGCTTCGTATGGGAAGGTCCACGCTCTTTCCGTGAGATGTTCTATATACAACAGACCGCTTGCGGCAGGAACTGTTCTACAGAAGGTATCTTTATCAGTTCAGCCGAACTCTTTTCCTCTTCTTTTTTTAACTCTTCTCTCTGTCAGTTTTTCTTTCTGTGGTTTCTCTCTTTCTCTTTTGTAATTCTTTATTGTGATCTCTTCTTCTGTCTTCAACTCTGTCTGTCTGTCTTTCTCTCTCTGCATGTCCAGGGCTCACAACGCAATGATTTTTACGTTGCCCAGTTGAAATTTTCCATTGTAGTTTTCATTGTTTTTGAACCCATGTTTCTAATAAATGAAGTTGTTACAACACCAACATTTTTGATTTGGTTAACACTGACGTTTCACAGTTCTCAATTCCCATTTGATAGCACATCAAAAACTAATACTAAGTTAAAACATTACAAAAAACAAACAGTCAATAATGAACAAATTACAAGCAATAGATACAAATGAAATACAGTGCTTTTCAGGTAGTATTCCGATAAGAAATAGATAAGAATAATCAAACGTTAAATAACAATCCATAGTCTTCACTGTATAAATTAAATGTAGATTGCACGCACAAAAGTTATTCAGTCAAAAGCAGTTAGTGATTTCCTCTTTTTCTTTTGTTGTTTAACATTCAAGAGATAGTTCACCCAAAAATGAACATTTTGTCATCATTTACTCACCCTCCACTTTAGTTGTTTGTTTCTTCTGTTGAACATAAAATGAGTTATTTTAAATAATGTTGTTACCAAGCAGTTGACGGTAGCCATTGACTGATTGAATATGGAAGTCAGTGGCTTCCATCAACTGTTTGGTTACCAATATTCAAGTTTTCTTATAATTTGGGTTCAACAGAAGAAGTTCATGTAGCTTTGGAGCAACTTGAGTGGGAGTAAATGATGACTATATTCATTTTGGAGTGAACTGCCCAAACTGCAGCAGGTTTTACATGTATGCAACTGTCACTTTAAGACTGAATGCACGGATCCACTATACTGATACACATGGATTTTTTTTCAGGATGTTAATGTTCACTTAACTTAATACTCTCCAAAACTGTTATTTTAACATAAACCGTTTTCTTTCGCAGCTAATAATGCTATAGCGGACAAAAACAGACCAAAATATGTCCACATGTCCATCTTGGAGAGTTCTCTTTTCGCGTCTTAAATGGTTTTTAAATTGCTTTAATGTTAATATTGACATCTTCTAAACGCCTGCAAATGATAAACTTACATAATGATGCCGTGACAATTTCATCAGGTCAGTCCTTATTGTCTAGCCCTGATGTCTCTCTCTCTCTGTCTGTCTGTCTGTCTCTCTTTTTCTACCTGACTGTCTGTCTTTCTGTCTTTTTTTCTCTCTGCATGTTTGTCTCTCTCTCTTTCAGTGATTCTATTTGTCTCTTTCTTCTCCAGTTTTTCTCTCTTTCTCTCTCTGTCTGTCCCTCTCTCTATATTTATATAAGTTCAGCAGAACTGCTCTTGCTCTGTTGCCGTTTAACCATCAGCTAGCTCTGCTTTCCCATCATCCCTAGGTGTTGTGCTGTGTTGCTTAAACATGATTGGTTGGGATGTGAATTTGAGGGTGTGTTTCTTGATACAAATATGATTTAAATGTGCGTTTGATATATTGCTGAATGTGTGTGTGTGTGTGTGTGTGTATGTGTATGTGTATGTGTATGTGTGTGTGTATGTGTATGTGTATGTGTATGTGTGTGTGTGTGTGTGTGTGTGTGTGTGTGTGTGTGTGTGTGTGCTTAACATTTACTGTGCAGTGGCGATAATGGTTTAATTCCTGCTTCCATTCGTGTGTGTGTGTGTGTGTGTGTTGTTTATGAGCTACCTAAAACCCTTCTGGCGGTCGTTGACCCAGCCTTATCATCTGCGGCCTGATTAAATGCGTCATTAAACAGCCAATCGAGTGTGCATAAAGGTCAGGGGTCAGCCTAGGGTTAGCTTGCCAAACGAGGGAGAGTGTGTGAGGACAGAGAGGGTTGACGGTGATGAATGAAAGGGTGTGTAAGTGAGTGTATGCGTATGTAAGTGTATCTCTCCACCAGGTGTTACAGCAACAGGCGGCACGAGATGATTAATGTGCCCTGGGTAGAACGAGTGTGAAGAGGGAGCAATAGCACCCTGCCAAAACACACTTCACCTCTGTTCACACGCATAGGGGTTCGAACACACTCATGCACCAAGGTGATCTACGTCTTAAAGGGATAGTTCCCCTGTAAATGACAGTTCTGTCACCATTTGCTCACTCTCATGTTGTTCCAAAATGACGTGAATTAGTTTTTTTTATAGATGTAAGTCAGAATGGTGATGCTGCTTGTTTTTCCATACAATGAAAGCAAATAGCTTTAAGGGGCTAAAAAAAACACCAGAAAAGTAGTGCATGTGACTTGAACACTATGTATTTCAAGTCTTTTGAAGTTTTGTGTGAATGAATGAAAACAGACTGAAATTTAAGTCTTGTTTGTGTTGTTACATTTTAAATGAAATGATAAAATGAGTGATACCAAAATGTGTTATTCATGGTCTTGTGACTAATCAAAATGTAGCAAAACTAGTCTAGACTGACGTTTGAGGCCTGTGGTGGAGGGCAAGATTTACAGTGAATTATAACTGAAATTTCAGCTTGTTTCTTACACAGTTATCATATGATTCAGCCATTTTTATAGTGCATTTTGGAGCTTGACAGCTTCTGGTCTGCTTTTGTTGTGTGGAAAAGCACAATGTGAACATTCTGTAACATCTCTTGCGTTGCATGGAAGAAAGGTTTGGGTGAGGGTGAGTAAATAATCACAGATATTTCATTTTTGGGTGAACTATCCATTATAGTCTAACAGCTGACTTTCACTGTGCGATAACAGTTGTTTCTTTGATCCATATTTTTGGTTTGCCTTTCTTTTGTTGGTGTTAATAGTCTATGAGGCTAGAGAACGCTGTGTGTTTGTGGGCAGCATGTGTCTGTTAGACTGTGTTTATGTAGGATGTGTAGAAAAATATAGACTTGAAGTCTTAGAAAATGGAGGAATCTTTTTTATATCTCTTCAGAGTAGCACACACACATGCATACATATGAGAGTGTATATGTCTGCATATATTGTGTTAGTGTTTTGCATATGTAGGATGTCTGTATATGTATGTTTATATAAGGATATATTGCATGTGTGTGTGTGTGTGTGTTCGCGCATTGCATATGTGGGGTGTGTGTATTAGCTGTGTGTGTGTGTGTGTCTGTGGGTATAATGAGGAAATCCCATCCTACTTATGTTTTGCACTTCCAAACCCTGTATCGCCCCCATCTGGTGTACCTGAGTAGTACAGTGGTCTGTGTGTACTGGTTTATATATCCTGGTGGGGACTTAAACCTGACTACACACAGACTCATGGGGACTCGTGTCACGGTGGGGACCTAAATTGAGAGAGAGAGAGAGAGAGAGAGAGAGAGAGAAATGTAACGCATTTATGTGTTTAATCATGTTTTCTCTTTTCATGTAAGGCGGTGATGTGGACAGTATGTTTGACGTTGAGAAAGGTGTCGGCACTATCGTCATCGCTAAACCTCTGGACGCAGAGCAGCGATCGTTTTACAACCTCACGGTGGAGGTTACAGATGGGACTAATATAGCGTACACTCAGGTAAACACACACACTCAAATAAAAATAAATAAACATTCACGGACACTTGATACTTGATACTAATACACTGATGTATAAGTATTTAATATTTTATATTAATGTAAATATATAAATATTGATAGTAGTTTCTCTCTTTTAATATTATTATTCTATAATATTATTCTAATTAATATTATATATATACACACAAATTAATATATATATATACATTTTCATATATATAATTTTTCATATTTATAATAATTCATAGATATAATTTCTCTCCACTTGTACACCTTTATTTTTTATTGATATTATATATTAGTCAAATTAATATTTGATCTATATGTAAAATTAATATTAATGTTTATATAATTAATATTTGTATCTTATATTAAAATATATATTAATATAATTAATATTTTAGTTGCTTTAATATTTATAAATCTGTATTAATTCATGTGTATAATCCGCATTTCTCTCCACTTAATTTTTAGATATCGTATGGCATTTCTTTCACTTACAGTACTTTTTTGCATTGCTTTTATTCCTTAGAATATGGCCAGACATGATGTTAAAAGGCAGCATAATGTTTCTTGTTATATTTGGAGCAGCTTTTTTGTCTTTTACATGAAAGTGTCTAGGGAGGAAGCTCACTAGGTTTTGGAGCAGAGTTAGTGTTTGTCCGCTTGACAGCAGCTGTTTAGTCGATGATTGATGCTGATGTTTGATGGTGAGGGTTTGATTGATAACGTCTGTCATCGTTCAGATTGCCTATCCCTGATGTCAAGGTCCCATCGGATTGATAGCTCCATTGCCATGGATACGAGCCTTTTTCAGTGTAATATGTCCGTGAAGGTCAGAGTTTAAAGGACACAATCCATCCTGAAAGGAAAAATGTGGGAGAGTGAGGAAAAATGAATGATCAATCTGTTCATCTTTCAGAGTAGAAGCTGCTGCAGTGCTTTGGGAGGAGGATGACAGGAAGAGCTCTCACATTTATTCAGTTTATTTGCTCACTATAAAGTAAATTAACATATACACACGCATACATAAGAACATAAACACAAAAGATAACTAATTCAAATTTAGTCAGTTGCATATGTTGGATGCTAAATGCACTCCTTTAAAAATACAAAGTACAAACACACACATGTGAACAGAGAGTGCTGGAGGGAGGGTCAGAGAAGGGACAAATGGAAAGAAAATGATGAAAGCGATTTTATTCGTCTCCAAGACTAGTTCTCTATTTAGAAAGCACCATCTTTCACACACTTTCATACTCAAATATACATGAATTCACTGTCTGCGATATACACACACACACACACACACACAGATGGAGCTCAGCTTGTCTCTGCAAGGCCAAGTGTGAGACGGAAGTGCACGTCTGTTATTACTTTATAATTAGATCAGCTAACGTGTTTCGATCTCACACGCTCACAGACACTCACAGTTGTGTGCTCTCACGCTGTCTGCGTGCTCCTCGGACCGGTGGGGCTATTTATACAAGTTAGCGACAACTGAGTATTTGCGTCAGCCAATTTGTTTGCGTTTCAGTGTTCAATCAGCTTCGATTTGTTCGTACACTCATGGTGCGTGCAAGTCATGTGATTTTCATTAAGTTCAATCAGGTTTTATCAGTATTGATCAGAGAATTTCACTTAGACTCGTAGTAAATAAAACTCCTGAAATGTAGAAAATTTGAAAACACATCAGTCAATACAAGGCTGCTTTATTTAGATGTGATCAAATTTACTAATATAATATACAGTGCTTGAATTTCATGAGCTTTCTTATTGAGTACAGATGAGAAAAATCAGATGAGAAAAATTGTTTTGTTTTGTTTTGTTTTGCTTTGTTTAGTTTTTTGTTTTGCTTTGCTTTGCTTTGTCTTGTTTTGTTTTGTTTTGTTTTGCTTTGCTTTGTTT